ATGAAGGATAGAAAGCAAGAGCCAAAAGAAAGGAAGGGAGTGGGGAAGAATGACGGGAGGAAGCAAGGAAGAAAGGAATTGTCGTCACAATCACAAACAAAGGAAAATGCAGCGAGGGTGCGCAGGGTTAGCTCAAGACACAGTAGTCCGTGCAGAAAGTGCTCAGCGCACTGGTTTTCCGGGACTGCACTAGTCCGCCTGTAGCCGCATGGCTCGCATGAGCAAGCAAAAGGGGCCCCTTAGCTTAGGGCCGATATGGCATTGTTGAGTGCCGGTTCTTGCACCAGCCCTAAAAGAAAGATCAACAATGCCCAGTTCTTGAGCGTAGGTGTCGATCAACATGTCGAAGAGCGGTGTGCCCTTGCTGTTTGCTCCGCTTTGCGGAAGAGAAGCTCGGGTCATATTTGATGGGCCAATGCTTTGTTTGAAGAAATTTCAGCAAGCCAAGACGGCTCTCAAGCTTCTTCTTTGTCATGGAATCGGAAAGGTTGTAGTCAGAAGCCAACCATCTCAACTCGCAAGCCACTCTCGCGAGGTTGTCTCGTAGGGAAAAGGCCTGTAGGGCAGCACGCATGTTGCTCAAACCCAACAGCGGTGACTCGTTCTTCTCAAGGGCGTCATAGCCACCACGGGAGTCGGTGCACAAGATGCCCTTGACCTGCAGGCATTGTTTCTCGGATGCCTGCACCAAGTCCTCACGTAGCTGTCGTGGTTCACGAGCTCCATGCATTTCTGTCCAAAGTAGACGCACTCGAAAATTCTGATCCTCTGCTTCGTAAACGGACTGGACTTCCGCGTCGTTAGAGCCTAGGGCCTTTCGGCGAAGTTTCCATGTTCGCCATGCCAAGAGCATCATCGGACAGACTTGACCATCGATAGACTCGGGGCCTGCCACGAGTGTCAGTAGACCGCCGGTGGAGTCCCCCTTGCCCCGGTTGTTGTGTGCCTGGTCTCCCATGGAAATGAAGACCAGGTCGGACCAGTGTTTCACCCCGTCCAGCTTGAAGAACTCCAGCTTGTAGGACTCGCGCCTGATTTCCGAAATCATGGCTTGTATTTCTCGTGCCGATTGTAGGGTGCCACTGGAAACCACCTCCGTCAGTAGGAGGTTACACCTGCTGCAGAGTTGAGGTTGACTCTGCACAGCTATCCATTGTAGAGCACCAAGTGCCGTACGGCAGGCGCCAATTTCACGTGGTAGTAGGGGGCCTTCTTGTTGAAGACGGTCGGCGTCGATCTCGAGGTCCTGGATGCCGTCGATGTAGTAGCTCTGGTCGACGGTGATTTGTAGCAGACCTCGCTCGTCCTTGGTCGTAGTGATGTCGGTGCCGGCATGACGATAGCGGCCAGTTTTGGCCGTTCCCCATTTGTAGGCCTTGTCCACTTGTTCGCGTACAGCCAACCATTCGTCACTCTGTTTGTCACCTAGACGATGGAAGTCGTCAACGTGACCTCCCATAGCTCCGATAACTCGGGGCCGCCCACGATCCATTTCGTGTTTGGACAACCATATCCATAGGCATCGCTCGCCCAACACTGCAATGCCGCCAAGCTCCGTGAGTTTGCGATGCAGTGACAGCCACAGACCACGAGGAGCGGTGGTGCTCCCGTAGATGTTTCTCAGGATCTTCATGATCCCTTCTTCGTCCACCCCGAGAGCTTCTCTAAGCTCCTCCACGCCGGTGGTGAAGAGCTCGCTGTCGGCCTCCGTAGGCATGGTTTGGAGGAAGGCCGTCGCCAAATCCAAACCTTCCAGTTCCCACTGATGAGTCACAGACATCAAGTAGAGCAAGTTTCTTCCCAGTGTAGACTGGACCGGCGATGATGTCTTGAAGGAAGGGTCCAAGAGGTTCGGGTGTTGAAACCCTAACAGGACTATGCGGGCCTTCGCCTTACGAAGTCCCCGTTTGTCGTGAAGCGTCTCGGCATTGGTCTGGGCGTCGCGAAGTGCTTCTTCGCGGTCTTCAGGTGGTATCGGCTTCCACGTCAACACCCATCTTGCCTTGACGATCCGTCCAGACTCGTATGCTTCAGCGATCTTCTTGTCGTCCAAACACTTCCGGACAGCCTCATTGCGAATGAAACTGTCCACCTCTTTGGCCTTGGCGCGCGTGAAGAGCTTCTCTTCGTGCGGTTGTAGTCGAGAAAGTTTTACCTCAGAGTCGCGCATCTTCTTGACCATGTAAGCAGTGGGGTTCCTATCCAAAAGTTTCCGTTGGCGGTTGGAAGCAGGAGCTTCCACATCAAACTCAATGCGCAGGAACTCATTGGTTTCCTCCATGGCTTGGAAGACATCGAACTCGTTTTCCTCCTGCATGGCCTGTGCCTCCATTTCTTGTACCCAATTCACCTCATGGGTCTTTGGCCTTTTTGCATCGGGTGGCCTAACTTGTGACTCAGATTCCTGAGGTACTGTTGTAGTAGAGGACGTGGCTGGGATCTGATAGTCATTGACATCACTGTCCGCTTGTGGTTCTTGGAGTGGTTCTTCATCACTTCCGGGTATCGGCGCTCCATAGGGTTCAAACCGAACGTTGGAGGTCTTGGTACGTAGTCGTCGTGGTGGAGCCACCATTGTGGAGGGATCTGGCTGAGCAGGTAGTTGAGGTAGTTCCAGTTCCTCGTCATTGGGCTCCTGGTCCACCATGTCCTCGTATTCCCGTCGAGGAAGTAGATCCGCTAGGGATCTCCACGTCGTAGCGTCCTCAGTAGTCGTGGTCTCATACTGAAAACGTTCCACTTCATTGACGGGTCTAACGGAATGGACTGAGCACCGTAGTAATTGACGACCAATCAAGACCCACACGATATGTCGCCGATGATCTCCTTCAGATTGGTGAGGAAGTACTTCAGAAAAGATGACTCGTCCAGGACCAATCCAGTGTGGCTTCCCACTCTTCTTGAATCCTCCTCGGGGCCCAGTATGTTGTTCTCGCGGCCACACTCTTCGCCAGACTTTGACCAGGTCCATCGGTGAGAACTCTCGTAGAGGTTGTCGCACAGTTGTGTTGGCCAATTTGCTCAGAGCGCGTTGTGCTCTGGTGGCAATCGCTATCTCCTCGGCCTTTTGTCGGGCGGTCACCAGACGCATGTAGTCCACCTTGGGCTCCACGAGGTGGTAGGTTCGCACGTCCTCGTCGGTGGGGACATAGGCTGCTCCAAAAGCCCATTGATGTGAGGAATAGCCTGCGACGTACTCTGTGGAATTCAATGAAGAGGCAGCAAGATGTAGAATCACGTCCAAGTTCACATCCTGAGCTTCCAGATGTATGGCGGAAGCCACATGTTTCACATCTTGGACGCACGCCTCCACCATGCCATTGGCCCATGGCTCTTTCTCAGCCACTAGGTGCGACTGCACCCCAATGTCCGCCAAGAACTCACTGACCTTGGTTGACGAAAAACTCTTTGCCGAGTCCATGACAACAACCTTGGGTTTTGGGTAGGAGCCCAGCCAGCGTTCGGAGAAGACTCTGATGAAGTCATCTCCTGACTCCATCTTAGTCTCCAGGAAATCCGAGATGAAAAGAGGTTGCACCACCCGCAGCCTTGTTGCCATGTCCATGAAGAGAATGAACTTCACCTTCTTTTTCTTCCCAGGAGGAATCCATTCACCAGTGTCAACACCAACGCACTCCCAAGCTCGGAACGATGCGTGAGTCGATGCTGGAGGGACCTGTCCAGTGCTGGGGCCTCCAGGTCGTAGAGCCTGACATGCGGGGCATTCATGGTGGGACGCTACATCGATCTTCCACTGTGGATGGCCAGCATCTCCAATGATCTTAGCCAGATTGCGGTTTGTGGGGTGTCCGGCCGCCTTGTGAAACTTTGCAACCTTGGCCTTCCAGGCTTCCATTTCTTTCTGCGAGACGCCATCTGGTAAATCCGTCTCGGAGGTAGGCTCTGTGGTAGTAGCTGTAGCCTGGGCCTCGTCAGGACTGGAGGTCGTAGTCGTGAAGGATTGCAAGGTTTTCTCAAAGCAAAACCCAAAGTCCTTGAGAGCCTGCTGGTCCTGGGAAGATAGATGAGGGAGCATCCTGGTGGTGTAGGCCGAGATGGTGATTCGGGTTCCCGTCCATCTCTCGGGGGCATGCTCAATTTGGGGTCTGAAGTAAACGAACTTCTCGCGTGTGTCACGTACATGGCCTGGCTGATACTTCCCACTGGGTAGTCGTACCCGTCGGGCAATGCCACCATCTGGGGATTCGTCACCGACCCAAAGTCCTCCACCTCGGTAGTCGCCAACCCCAATCAACATGTTCCAGCTGCCATCTAGATTATGATGATCACGATGTGGTAGAGTTCGGCTGTTCTTGCTCACCATAAGACTGGACCACTGGTGTAGCGGTTGGTGGTGGCGGATGAAGGCATTGATGTAACACACTAGCTCCAAATGCTTGTTGGTGTACTTGCAGATACCGCCAAATGCTCCGTGAGAATATGCCCCAAGGGCAACGTTGAAGGAGGGAGCCTGGCGCCACCTTTGATTGTCATTAGCTGAAGGCGCAGCCACGCTGAAGAATTCATTCAAGATCATCTGGAGGTTCTGGAAGGTGAAAACCTGGCGTAGTCGAGCCTCTCGGGCCATCGTCTCCAAGGTAATACGTCCGGCCTCATTGAGCATCACATCGTTGACATCCGAGAAGTTGAGGGAATCGCCATTGGAATCCAAAACCTCAACCTCTTCCATTGTAGGCTCGCCATCGTCACCAGCATCCACTAGGCCCGGTAGGTCCTGTCGAAGTGCAAGTAGATGGAGATGTCGTTGAGGCACAACTTGATCATGCCAATGTCGTGATATGGCCTGCACCATCTTCCACGGATAATAGGCCTGATGGCCCCGATCGTGGCCTTCCTTGGTACAATGCCGATGATTGCCAGCACATAGTTTGGCACGAAACCGTCGATGAAAGTTCTCATCGGTTGTCCGAATCTGCCACGGTTTCTGGACAAAGGCGGTTCCATCTTCATTGAGTAGACCGTAGCAGCAGCCGTCGACGCGGCAAGATTGCCACGGGACACCCTTTTCTTGAAAGTAGCCGCCAAGATCTCCAAGAGCTTGTTGCGACCATCCACGGCACATGTGGGGCCACTCCCAGTAGACTTGCACATCCGGATCGTAGTTCATGGCGTCCTTAATGAACTGGTTGGCATTCCATAGCATTCTCTGCTCCCTTCTTCGATACGTCTTCAGCTGCTCACGTTGCTCGGGGGTGTTGTAGTTCATCTCGTTCCATGGACACCACTTCGAGAAGGGCAACGAAAACCAGAGTCGCCGTGGATGATGAAGTCGTTGTAGTTCACGCAAGTGCTTCCAGGTGGACTCCTTGTAGAGGTCGTAGCCGGTGCTGAGGTTGATGCTGCGGGGTCGGAGTTGATGTCGTTGAGCCGCCTCGCTCAGCCAATTGTGGGGTGACCCGGATATCTCCCACAGCCCGTCTTGTCCTTCCAAATGTAGTCCTGCAAGGAGTGCACTCGTGGCGGCAGTCATCAGGGTGGCAAAAGTCATAACTCTCTCCGCCACATGTCTTGGACATGGCTTCACATGCCCGAACTGGCATAGGCCGTTGGCAGATCCATGTTCTCTCCCGCCTCGGTTGTCACGAGCCAGCTTCCGTTGGAGTTTGCGGGACTGGTTGCCGACGTTGAGGAGGTTTGTGGTACCTTTGTCGTCTTGGGAGCCTGAGGATTCGCCATCTGTTCGGTCACCATGTGGTTCAGCTGCTCCTCCGCGTCGATCTTCTTCTGCATTGCCAGGCAGATCGCCTGTGTTGGTTTGACCATGCCCATAATCCCTTGAAGCTGCTCTAGCATCCGCTTCACCATGGCGGGGTTCTCGGTTTTTGTCGTGGATGCCGGGCTGCCTTTCCTGGGCACGTACTCCAAGCACACCGCGCAGTGCACCCACGCCCCGTGAGCGTTTGCCTGCACTCGGGAAGCCGTGTGCTGTTGATAGCACGGCCACTGACTCTCCTGAGCTCGAGGGTCTCTGACATCCATAGTCACTCGGCGAGCCGGGTCCAACGGAGCCGCCTTCGCCTTGGGCTTCGTGCTGTTCTTGATCTGCGTCACCAAAACTTGCTCCGGGGTCGGCTGCGACAGCGACATCACCGGTGGAACGAGAAGAGGATGTTGATGATTCTCTGGGGTCCACTACAGGACCACACATTTGAGAAGTCGAGGCTGCAGCATCAAGGAGTTGAGCACGCAGAGATTGTGATCGCTGATGCAAACGCAGTAGTCTGGACCTTGACTGAGACAGCGACGCATCATCTAATACAGCATCAGTTGCAGTCAAGTCAAACCACACAGTGCCCAATTCAAGATATTGATGTAGAACAGCTGAGGATGACGACGAAGGACTGGAACTCACTACCAAGTGGGCTTGACCTTCCAGATTGACCTTGCCTTGAGTTAAGAACTCAACGATGTCCAGGACATAGTGACCCTTAACATTCGTTCTCAGTCGATAAACTTCTGGATGTTGTTCCTTGGAGTTTAGGGCGAGTCCTGTAGAAAAGTCGATTGCCATCCCCATGCCTTCGGGTCCCAAGAAGTCCATGCCAACTAACACAGGCACAAGAGACGACTTGTCGAAATGACTGGCGTAGTACTCGGTGGGGTTCGGTAGAGTGTACAAGGAGAACTGTCGTTGATGTCCTGAAACATTACTTGTGATCGTCGTTCTACCAAGTGCTCTTCCCCACTTACCATTGCCAAAACGAAAGTAAGGTCTCGAGTATTGCTCCAGGTCAATGCGGGCTCCACGGTCGCGGCTGAGGACTGCTTCCACAAGTCCTTTGACGACCGCCTCGGGCGCGGCCGAGGCAGTTGCGCCACTATCCAGCATCCCCATTTGAGGATCAGCGCGCGATGCGCTCATCGAAGAAAGATCCATGGTGGGCGCCACTTCAAGCCCTGCCAGGAAAAGATCTGAACTGTAGGCATTCACAGTCCGACTGGGTTCCTTGCCCTTGTTCTTGCCTTTCATCCAAGAAGCCTGGCCCTCCAGCCACTGACCATACTTGCCCTTGGACTTTCCCTTGCCTTTGCCCTTGCCGATGAAGTAGCCGTCCATGTCGTCGAGGTAGTGGCCGTTGAAGCCCTTTTTGCCTTTTGACTTGCCCTTCCCCTTGGGACAATCTCGCGCAAAGTGCGGCCCGCCGCAGTTGAAGCAGCGGCCACCACCAGAATTCGAACTGATGGCTCCGAAACCTCGATCTCGCTTCAGGGCTTGAGTGGCCTTCTGAGCTTCTGACCATGTGCGTCTCGCTTCCATGGCCAGTTGTTCGGCTACTCTCTCGGCCTGTTGGGCCTCCTTCACCTTCTCATCATCAATCTCATTGGGCTCCTCCATGGTCGTCGGGAACGCATCATCGTAGGGGGTGGTCCACCACGGCTCGTCGTCCCACTCCGCGGCATAGCCCTGGTGATCCCACCAACCAGTCTCCTCCGGGTACCAGTCGTTCGGTTCCTCCGAGTAGTACGTATCCATTTCCTCGTGGTAGTTCGCGTGGCACTGGTAGTCGCGGCCGCCAGGTCCACCATGTCGATTCCCCAACAACTGTTCGTCCCACAGTCCTTGCAAGGCCTGGGCAATGACCTCGTAGTCCAGGCTGTTGCGAGACGTGCTGAGGATGTCTCGTTTTTCTTCGGGTGTTAACCCGGCCGCCTGCAGCAATCGCCATCCACGAAGAACGCCCATGATGAAGCTGTCAGCAATGGTGAGCTCGTCGATGGCCTTCGCAGGGCCATCAGCGGCAACAGAAGGAGCTTCGCGACGTCGAGGCCTTGATGTAGGAGATTGAACCTCCTCCCGGTGACTCGGCGAAGATCCGGTGGTCGCTCGGACACGTTCGGCAGGATCGGCTCCTGGATGATCAGCTGCTGCTTCGCCTTCTCCTGAACGAGGTTCTTCGGGAGAATCGGGTTCGGGTGAAGCACCAGCACCGTCAGCTTCACTGTTGAGCTCGTCCTCATAGTACCACCAGCTGCCATCTTCCCAGGCTTGATCGCCCCATTCGTAGTCACTCCAGGATTCTTCTATTGGTGGCAGGCCGAAGTCACGATCGGCTTGAGATATTCCCAACTTCTCCTCGTGAAGCCGTATCAGGGCCTCCACAAACTCTTCATGAACCAGGGTCTCCCTCACGAGGAAATTGCCGATACTCTCATGAGCACTCCTTCTAAAGGAAAAGTATTGTTGACATATAGCCGCCGCGTTTGGCAGAGAACGCCTGACAAGAGGCGACGAGGCCAGTCTGCGAAGCAGCTTCACCGTCCCGTCTTCAGCATCGAATGCTGCTTGCTGCCAGCTCATGGCCAACAGCCTCGCCGGTCCGGTGAGTCGACCCATGAGACGCGACGCGCAGTGGCCGCTTTTCTTCGCTGGTGTGGATTGGACATACCAGGCAACCTCCCGGGCATATCTTCTCCATCCCCGGGCCGCTCCATCCCAGGTTGGTACACTGCCATCACGCACATCTGACATGTTGATCAGGAAAAACTCTCAAGAAAAGGAAGCAAATCCCTTCAGGACTTGCTGAAGAAAGGATTTAGTCCTGTCCACCCACAATGACAAG